ATGTTGAGTTACAGAAACATTTTACTGAGTGTTGCATACAAGTCCAAGAGCTACAAGCAAGTTCTCGTGCTCATACACAGTCTTTGATAGATAGTAAGATACAATGAACAATTCCTTACAGTTTCATAAGATCGCTAACTCTTCTGTTTAACAATGCATGCAGCTACTACACAGCGAGAAAGAACAAGGACAACACTTTTTTTTTTTTTTTTTTTAAACAGCCAGAATTATAATTCAGGAGCTGTACTCTAGCTAAAACTAAATTACTGCAAGCTACAATAAGAAGCAGAACTAATTCATTACTATGGAACTAGAATAACACCAAGACAGCATGTAAAAAGTTATTCATTGAATGGATACTGGATATAACTTCACATAAAACGAAACTGCAAGCAGATATGTACTCTAAGCATCAGCAGGTGGCATTAGTAGAACATATTTAGCATGTTTCGTCTTAGCTGAAGCCTTAAGCTACTTAAAAACTTGGCAACTTTGTGTTAATTAAATTGTAAAGTGGCAAACAGCGATCTTAGTAATAGTTACATGCCTGCAGGAGACGAATCAGAGCTGTCAGTCTCTAAGGAACAGGTTAGTAAACCTTCGGACTGAAAAAAGCTATTACTTACTATTACCAAATTCATGGTACCTTCTCATTTCAACAGCCGAGTCCCTTCAGGAGAAAATTATTCTAGAATGACATTATACAAAATGCAGAATAATCTACCAGTTGCACACTAAATATGTGAACCAGGATGCTAGAAGGAGTACCAGAACCCAATCAATAGCTATCAGGATAAGCATGTTACTGCTTAAACAGAACAAAGAAAAAAAAATTGCAGTGTCAGCAAAAGTAAATGCTAGTTAAAACTTTTAAGATATTGAAACCAGCAAAGGAAATATTTACTTCTGAAAAAAACTTGATGTTACAAGCTGTCAATCCAAGTGAAAAAGTATATTAAATACAAAATTACAGTCCTTTCCAAGGATTTCATATTTTTACTTTTGGTTACTAAACCTTAGTACTACAGCCACAATGGACTTGCTTAGGAAGGCAACTTAATCTTTTCTTACAACACCAGTGAGCTATTTCTAATTCTTTTGATTCTAAAGACTCAAGACAGAAAGAAAATGGATGCTTTGTACTTGATGCTTTCACAGTTCTTCTGAGGTAGAAAGATAGCAGAGAAAGTGCTATGAAACGTATGTGCATAAAGGACAGGTACATTCAAAAAATCCCATCCTACCATGTGTTAAGAGAAAAAGCCACAGGCAATCTCTCAGGGAATCACTGGAGGCTGCAGTTCCTGATCATCTCCTGCTCTTCAGGAGTCAAAAAGCAATATACCACATGAACTCTTTGAGACAAGGTATTCAAGTCCCAAGGATATTAATTTGCTCTTTAAACCATCTGGTAATTAAGCAGCACAGCAGTCGTACCAAGTGTATTCTACATGTGTTGCAAGTAGGAATTTTATTTAAAAGGCAAGACCAGTCTATTTTTTGTGGAGTCTCCCACATTTGTGTATTCTGGGCAGATTAAGAAATATTGATTCCATTAAAGGAACAAAATTGCAACCATTAGCAATGGAAGAGACTCATAGTGCAGTGCTTCCACAGAACAACTCCTAGGGAAGCACAGAACCAGAACTACCAAGAGGTTATTTCATTGGTTCTGAAGATTAAGCAAAAACTGTTAATCTCTGGATTTTCCATGTAAATTTAAACCTTATTCTGATCCAGCATAATGGGAGAAAAAAAAATAAAAATAAAAAGACATGCAGTCTTGTTTCTGACTTAAACTTCATTGCTCCCAGTTGCCCACTTCGCTAACCTAGGACAATTTGGCTTGGGGGCTTGAGTCTTCTTTGTCTGTTCTGTCGCATCATTAATTTTTGGACCCACTTTTCCTACATTTTACTTACCTTCTGTTTACCTTCACATTTATGTTCACATTGTGGACATTACTGATTTATTTATTTAAACTCTCTGCTCAAATGCTATATGCAAGAATTATAGCTGAAAAACAACAGTATTTTGCTAAAGTTCCAGTCTACTGTAATTTCCATGTTTCTTATTATTTCAATCTGCTTTAGTTCCTTGTTTACTACAGCTACAGAAAACATACAAAGCAAGCAGACTTCCCTCTAGAGTTTTAAACTAACAAGTTGTAAATTTTATGTCATATTGGAATAAATCTTTCCAAGCAACAATATTAAAATGTAAAAGGCATTACATACATTTTATCACTTAATATCCTATTAAGATTCATCATAGACTTTGGCTGTCTTCAAGAACATTAACCATAGGTGTAAGTCATCCCATTCTAAGACCTCTACCAATCAGCTAGAAATAAGTGTGTCTTGTTCATCAAATTCTTTCTGTGTAACAAGGAAGTCAAAGGCAGGAGCGACACAAAAAGACTCAAAAATAGCTTGTTTTGGTCTTTAGGATATAGCCAACCTGGTTTTAAGGGGTTATTCACCATATATTTTTATACATAGTGTTCATTCCAAAACTCGTCATTATGTAGACTCTAAGTTAAATTTATTAAGCAGCATAATGACAGAAGCTTTATTAAAATATCCAGAACAGTAAACTACATGCTTCACATTATTAGATGGTGCTGACCAAACGATACTTAAAGGGCTTTTGTCTACTGTATCTCATAAGCCATTTTTATGAATGCTGCCTCAACAGTCCCCTCATTTTATCACTAGTAAAGCAAGATGGGAGTTTTAGTCTCATACTAGGTGAGGTAAGCTTTTGTAGAAGAAGATACACATTTATTGAATACGCCACAGGACAAAGTGACTTCCTCTCCCTAGCCTCACATTTTCACAGAACTGAAATACAACTGCAATCTCTAATTCACCTCTCATGCCTTTTCCACAGTAACAAATAACTAAATTCTTCCTTCTGAGGAAGGCAAGAAACTTATACTTTTTTTCAGGAGACTTGGTGGAAATAGAAGTTGGTCATATTAATGAAGTGGGATTTCATGGTGATGAGCTAAGTACTGAATAAAGCCCATACAGTTATTGCCTGTTGCCACATAAAAATTAGATACAAGTATTCTCAGTTGTAGTTCATCTTGCAAAGCAGACCTCGATTATACCACTAGTACTTCAACTCTGGTTAGGTTTTATGACTTTCACAGTAAATTTAGTCTTATTCCTCTTACTTCTATAGGAACTTGGTTTTACTGGTAAGCTACTGTTACCCTTCACCTGTTCATAACTATTAAGAGAAAAATGATCACTGAGATTTAGTTCATCCTGGATAAACCACTTGCTTTTTCTAAGAACGAGCAGGTCAAGTAACAGTGGAGTGTCTGAATGGCAAACAAAAATGGTAGGATAAAACTTAGACGACTTATCTAGTGAACAGTATAGGGCTGACAACCTATCAACAGACACTTAACAGCAACTCATCTGAAGGCATCACTCCCCAAAAGATACCTGATTTACCTCTGTGTATTTTGTTATTCTTTGTTATTAATGGGAAGAAAAGAAAAAGAAAAATCAATAATGTAGCTTATTCAACCTCACCCCCAAGCCTTTCCCCCTCCCCCTCCCCCTCCCCCCCCCCCCCCCCCCCCCCCAATCTTTCCTGTAGAACAATGGCCAGGGTTTGCTTGGCAGAGAGTTCTGGACAGCATTACCTAGAACATCAATCAATTTCATCGTGGAGGTCAGAGTCACCACATACCGAGGCCTAAAAATTTTCCACTCTCTTCCTAAGTCTTCTTTCCCATCTTAAAAAGGAGTTTAAACCAAAGGAGGCAAAAGACAAGGTGTCTGCCAAATCACCATTTTCAAATCAGGATTTAAGTATCCCTATAATGTTTTTAGAGTTGGCTTTTGTTTTTTCTTTCTTAACTTCAGACTAGATTCTGAAATGTTGTTCAAGCACCTATAAATAGAGATAAACATTTGCTAGGATTTTCAGAAGCATCTATCTGCTCAGATGCTGTACTTGTGGAGAATTGACTACAATTGCTTTCCATGTATAAAACAGCAGCCAGCATGTCCCACTCAGAGTAGTAATTCTTTTTTCATCTTAAGTGTCACACAGAAAGAAAAACAGGCTGTAAACTCAATATCTTTTTCCAAAACAATGCAAGTCACCTTCATTAATACCATATGCGTGAAAAATATATTTGAATAGCAATAACTATACACTGTACTAGCCAACATCAACACATATGTTCACCCTACACATCCTGTACCCCCATATCCCAGAAAAATACATTTGTTCATACTTGTCTCTTACACAAATACATTTCAGCTAGTTCATTAGCTGTTTGTAGAGCAAGTAGTAACAAAAATTACCTTCATTTACAGTGAGTCAAATCTGTACACTACCAGGATCCACCTCTTAGAAGGTGATACAGATTTGGCTCCTGAATTTTTACTTCAGTTTTCTTTGTAAATCTTACCAAATCTTGGCAAGAAGGTAAGAACAGATCTTGGCTACTGAATGCCCTAGGGTCTCCATTCTTTTCCTTCCACATCAGCATGTATTTTAGAACACATTCCTCAGAGAGAAAGTTGCTTTAAATATTCCCAACATAGTTTTGCTTATTTTGTCATACTTTTTTTTTTTTTTTTTTCTCCAAAATATCTACCACTTGTCACTACCAGGTGTAGGTAGCAGAGCAGAAGAATTACTGCTCTAGTCAGCATTTTCTCCAAATGGAAAAAGTCAGATGAGATTCAAATTCTAGACAGAAGCTATTTTCACATTACAACTGACCTGTACAGAATTAGTGCAGCCAACTTAACTATTACAGGCTCAGAGCAACCTGATCTAGCTCTGGATGTCCCTGTTCATTGCAGGGGTATTGGACTAGATGACATTTAAAGGTACCTGCCAACTCTAAGGATTCTACAATTAGAAAATAATTGTAACTGGAAGTAAGTAAAATTTAATTTTACAGCACTGCTTGATTCTTTAAAAGTATTTTGCACTACTTTGTTCTCTTTCTATTTTCTTTACAGTGGACTACAAGTTTAGAAAAGTCCCAAAACAGAAAAAACAGGGCCTGAATGAATCAGTATTACTTGGTAGAGGGAGTACTGCATTCTGCTACAGAAGACAGCACTTCAAATTTGAGAGGTCAGCTGCAAAGCTTGGCTTCAAAAGCAACTTACAATCACAACACCAGAGAACAGAAACAACTTCCTGAGCCAGATAGCAACTACAGAATCCTGGAGATGATTGTTTTTAAGCAAAACAGATGTCAGAGCCAAATGTTTCTTGATGCAATCCTGTTCATCCTCAGTGAGACAGCATAAAGTCTTGTTTCCCTGAACACAGCAAGAGGAAGCAGTCCCTTTGCTCAATGCCAGTTCTTCTTTCCTTACAGCTCTGTACCAACCACTCTCCCCTCCCAGCTGCAAGCTTCTAGTTCCTCATCAGAAATGGATCTGAAGTTTCACAATGCTAATACCACAACAGGTGTGACGTACATCTCCAGAAAAAAATGCTCTGATGCTTTATTTTATCCTCTTTCCACTTAAGAGACCTTGAATATGTTTTAATGTTTCCAGTATATATATATTAAAATGATCCAAAGGCAGCATCCATTCATCAAAAACATGAAAACTCAAGACGAGAATTAAAACAAACAACAAAAAAAGAAGAGTCACTCATGGCTACAGCTTATGCCTGTCATGGAAAGAAACATATCAAAATGTCCCCATTAATGATTGCATCATAAGCCCTGCAATGTTGAAAGCCTGTTACTGAGATTCTATTCTCTAATGGGAATTCAAGCCACTGGATGCGAGTAGTTGAATAAGTAAAGATGAAAAACAAATTCAAAATGATTTAATTTCAGAAGTCGAGAAATACGGAAATTTGTTCAGAAATACAAGAGCCCACAGTGCTTTCCTGATCCTTGATTTAAAAAAAAAAAAAAAAAAAAAAATAAAAAAAAAGAAAGAAAAAAGAAAAAAGAAAAAAGAGAAAGCAGGAATCATCCAAAGCAGCAGGAGCAAGAAACTATTAAAGCTTAGTGAACCACTGTATTAAAACATGCTTCTCAGTAAAGATTTTAACATTTTAACGTTCCCCTACTGAAGATGATTCAGAAAGATGTAAATAAAATAATTTACCATTTGTTTCAAAATATGGTCAGATGAACTTTATTTCTTTATTTTAACAAGCATACAAGAGACAAAAACAACAAACTAATGGGTACTAAACCAAGAGCAAGTACTGCCGTGTCCTTTGGCTAGCACATAACAGTCAAGAACCAGAACAAGCAGGTGAAACCACAGACAGAAGCAGAAGTTGCAGCCCTTCATTCTTGAAAAATATTTAGAGTAGCTCATGTTTTCAGTTATTGAAGAGCAATCACACAACTTAACATTTCTCCATCCAAATGATGGCACAATGTCCCTTTCTGAATTCAGAAGAATTGATTATCATCCTGAATTGCTTCCCTCAGCTGCTATCACTGAAGAGCCACCTGAATTAAGAACCACTAATTTCAGATCAAATACACAGTTTCAGTAATCACTCAAAAGGAAATGGTGATGTCGAATCTCTAGATATTTGAAATAAAAACTTGAATCACAGTCTAATTCATTTCCATTGCAGTCATCCATATAGCAATCAGGAAAAAGGTCTTTAAATTATTATGAGTCCCTTAATTAGGCAGAAAACTTTTACAACCATCTCCTTGACCTCAACACTGAGGTATAGTAATTTGCCCAAAATCAGAAATACAGTTAACATAAAGAAAATAGAAACCTCCGAGTGCAAGAAATACAGCTAGTATTGCCCTAAAAACAAACCTACACCCACTGTTATTCTCACATTTTTTCAAGATGTGAAAAAAATAAGACTCAGGTTTGCAGTGGAATCATCCATGTTGAGTGCAGCATTACAGCATTTACCTTTGATTTCAAGGTTAGAGAGTTTTGATAAAGCTTACTATGTGCATTCATTTGTAGAATATACTCATTTTGGAAAGGGAAAAAACAAGCTCTATTCTGAACTCCACCTCATTTCATTTCAGAATAAGAGATTAAGATAAATAAAGGATAGGATAAGAGGAACTAGAAACTGCTATTGGAAAGTAGCAAGGCAAACATTCAATTTCTCTACCTTCATTTCTTTTGATACAAGTAATGGGCCAAATACATCACTTTAATAATCTTGGCCTTATAATGTTCAGAGATAATCTAAAAAGAAATCTAAGATAACCAAGTTGCAAAAATTTAAAAGCAACTTTCCAATCTTAAACTAAGCAGGAAGACATGCTCACTTAATAAGAAATATATTTTGCCTTCTTAACTCAGCTAATAGATGTCATGAGATTTCTTAAACCAGGTTCAATAAATTACTACTGAAAACTAGAGTAGAAGAAGCCAAAAAGTGTTGTTAGATATTTAGACAAATTAAAATGGTCTAGATGAAGAATAAATACAATGACTACCCTCAATGATTATTTTCTACAAAATCACTACTGAGGCTGGTTTGATGTGTCAGAAGGCACTATTTTGTAGATGTGCTTCTCAAACAGGAGCCACATTCTACAAATCAAGGATGTTCAATATCTGAACAAGGACTTGAAGATATAAGGTTCAAGAAGTCAAACACAAGTAGGTGATTGCTCCTTACAAAGGTATACTTCATCATACAAAAAGCCACCAAAAGACCTACATAACTCACTGAAATACTACAACACAAGAAAATGCTTTAGGCAGGTCAGGGATCTTTTTACTGTTTAGCTACATTTTTAAAACTTTGCCTGGCAGATTTTCCATCTTTTTCTTGCTGCAAAAAGAAGTGCAAAATGCTCCCTACTAACATATGGAACCAAAGAACAGAATATATGTGCATTAGCAACAGATCATTTGGCATTCCTCTTAGTCTCTTTCCCACATACATAGATCTAAGCCACCTTTTAAACAATACTGCATTTGGATACTTAGCTTCTGCTCTTTTATTTTCATCAAATGAGTCTTCCACTTCATACTTAAGAACTTATAAACTACTTCTGTTTACCTGTATTGCTCAGTATTTGTTTTCTTCTATTCCAAGACAATCCATAAGTTGTTTCCACCATCATCACTTCCAGGAAGTTAACATTTGCTTCTTTCAACTGGCCATTTAAAATGTGCATCTTCAACTATCCTTTCCTTATATCTAATCTTGCCTGATTTGATGGATTTTTTTTTTTTAATTAGATAGCAAATCTTAATTTGATATACAAATATAGTTCCCACGCATTAACTCATTACTTGAATTATGTGAAACTTTAAATCACAATTTTTCTGTGAGGAGACACAAGCCGGTTATTACATATCGTACCATATGCCTTGCAAACTATAAATGGAAGTATTAAGTAGACAGTGTTAATAATTTAACATTGTAGATAAAGCAGAAATTTTAAGTTATCAATATCAGCAGTTGCAGGACCTTTGAAATAATGTTTTACAATCCTTGGCTATTGTTGCCTTTACAGTAAAGTACAACTGCTTAACTGAACAGAAAACATGCCTATGGAGTCACTTTTAGTTCCAAGACCGTATAAAAGCTATTGTTTGTTGTACTTGATTTTCACTTACCAGTCTTTAAAGTAATCTCCAGAAAGTATTTTGAAACATACCATTTCCTCCTCCACACTAATTGTAGGCCTTTCAAAAAAACCAAAACGATCCGTATCTGTTGCTAAGAAATTAAAACCATAACACCCCTTTTTCTTTTTTTACCCAGAATTCCACGATATCCAGATTCCTCATGAGTACTGTAAATCAAACACCCATCTACTAAAGTTGTGTGTGTTCCTCTCCTTTTCCCCCCATATCTCCCTGCCAGTCCAATTACAGCTGTGCAGGCTATTAGCATTTCAGAGAAGTTTTTTATTCTCATTTTTTAATTTATAATAAAAATGAAGCCAGCTATATACAAAGTCTCTAAGACACTAAATATTGTACAGAAAAAAACACGTGATTTCTAGGAAAACTGATAATACTGTCTACCAAACTGAACCATGATTTTCCACATTACTCACAGAAACAGCTTAGCTTTTATGAATGACAGTAAAAGAACATTTTGTAACCTTTTTAACCTACCTTTCAAAGAAAATTACAGTCTGTTACACATTTCTCCTCTCTCGCACTTTAAGAAACAAAAATAGATCTTACTCTTTCAGCTCTAGTTAGCATTGGCCCATAGACCTTCGCTTATTAAAAAGAGAAGTAAGAGACTAAAGTGTTTTCCAGGTAGCAAAAAATTGGAAAAAATGGAATAGAAGTAGCAAGTCAATTTTAGGAAATATCCCCTATGGCATATGATGTTTCATAAGAAGGCTAGTTAAAGGTTCCATTACTACAGGGCTTGCTGTCCTATTTAAAATATCAAGGTTCAGCCTGTCAAGCTACAAATTATTATTGAATATTTCCTCTTTTATTTCCAAACAAAACAAAACACCTTTAAGAAGACAACTCACTTTATTTTCAGCAACAGAAAGCTATTCAAGCTTCAAAGGAGAACAAAATGTTCTTACAGCTTCATAATTGAAAAGTCAGTGATTCCTGTGGTTTATAACCATTTACAGAATCTCAAGTACCAGAGATCACTTTTGGAAAGAAGGGACTTGATATTTTTTTCCATTAGAGGTGCCTAAAAAAATCCATAGGTTTGAAGCATGTTATTAAATCTATTCCCTGGAATAGGTTTTTGTGCTCCAGATGAGTTTTTTTATCTATTATTTTCATCTGGCTAAGTTTACAACTTATTTTCTCTGCATAATAGAACTTCTAAAAGAAAATATGATATTTAAAAAAAAAAAAAAAACATCCAGAATGTTGACAAAGTGCTACAACTGCATCTACTATTCCTACACATAAGCATCACATTTCTACTTTACTGATCACTATGAAGAATCTTTACTTTCTATCAGAAATGCTTTTATGTTTAATATGCTTTCTTATTATGTATTTAGTACTTAGTTGAAATAATAAAAATATCAACATATTACATAGAGAATCAAGGAAAACTTACAACCAATAGACAGGGAAATTACTTGTTTTTTAATGAAGATAAAAAGTGTCATTGATATAAACAGTGTAAGAGGGAAACGGCGAAGCCACAAATAGGACAAGAATCAGTGCACTGAAGAAGAGCTAGTATCCTTCAAAAGGCATACAGTTTTCAAAGTGAGAATAAAAAGACAAATATCAGATACTAGCTACAGTTCAATAGCATTCATTATCTTGTAGTAAAATGTTGATGTCATTGCTGTTCAATATCAGTCATTTAAAATGATGAACAAAGCTTTGAAGAATATACATCCATACATCCAGACTGACCAAGGATAAAAAAAAAAAAAAAAAAAAAAAAAAAAAAAAAAAACCAAGTATTTGAAAAGATTTTTTCCTTATCTAATATCTATAAAGCTATCAAATCAAGAGAGATGGATCCATTTCTCATATTAGGTCAAAATTCAGCAATGGTAGAAAAAAAATGCAGCAAAGATAGAATGATGAATATGCGAATAAGTCTTAACTTTAATATTTAAATGGAATTTATGTACATTTTTGGCACTACTGGAAGGATTTTTTTTTTTTTAAATTTTAAACTAGTTCTTTTTTAAAGCAATCTTTTGAAAAGGGAAGTAGGAAAACTGCAAAGGCAAAAACAACAAAAGGAAAGGAATCAGATTTGAAGCATACTTACTAAAAGGAAAATTAAGCAGATACAGAATCATATTAATTGCAAGGTTTTCAGGCATTGGTTTCTAAGTTGTGCAGAAGTCAGCTTTTCCTTCCTCAGTGAAGCAATAGATATTCTCAAGTTCCAGAAAGCTGCCCTCAACTCCTTGAATACTTTCTCTATGGGGAATAGCAATAGTATAGCTATTGCTCTGGTCTCAATGTTACCATTATTTCAGCTGTTAAATGGAATGGCTATTGAAGCCAGTAAGTGGACAACAGTTGCAGGTCACATTCTACTAC